TTTAAGCAAAGAGGACTCTTTATACGTTTTTTAATTCTCTCTAGCTTTCAATGGACTTTGCCATCATCATCAGGAGCTGCAATTACATTGATAACAGTAACAACAATAGTGTAAAATGAATTTAAATTGACTTAACTTACAGTAGTATGTGAGGATGTTGCTAACTGTTGTTACGTTCAGGATGAGGGAAACGCCTAGTAACATGGTGAAAGCTGGATAGGTGGTACAATGGTCAAAATTATATAAATATGAGAAGAATAAGTTAAAAACAGATTAAAAATTTTTTAAAACCATGAAAGCATTACATCGTGAAGTCACTTGATGATTGCACAAAATGGTGGTCATGGAATAATGAGTGAGATGAACCCTTTGACAGAAGGCCGAAGGTTGTCAATGTCTGTGTAGAAAGATGGAACGAATTGTGGGCGTGTGCCACGTTGCCAAATCACTTCAGATGGTGTGATTTTCAGAATGTTATGTAAGAAATTGTTAAACCGACCAGAGGCAGTTGAATTAACTATATTTTAATTAATGGGAAATTAAATTAATAATTATTATTAAATCGTGAGGAGAAAATTATTAGAATTTGAGTGGAATGAAGTTTATTGGTGGAATCGACCAAGAAACAGATTCCATTTATGGTTGTGAAGAGTCCCAAATTTGGGGAGATATGTAAGTTCTCCAATTTTTCGCAGTTTAGCAAATATGAGTAAATGACACTTAGTTGCTTAACATCTGTCTTTTTGTTGATACAGTTGTTATTCATGAAAATGTGGGACATTTCCAGGAATAAATGTTTGGATAGGTGTTTTCTTTATCAAGAACTTTGATACTTGTGTAATTTATAGAGTGCCCTTTTGTGTTAACATGAGATGCTAGAGCGCATCTTCAGGATGAAGCCTAGAATTACTTTTTGTGATGTAATCCTTCCTTAAGAGATCTGGAGATCTGACCTATGTATATTTGGTTGCAGTTGTTGCAATTGATGGAGTAGACTGTGTTCGTTAAGCCAAGCAGCGGGACTCTGTCTTTCATCTTTGAAAAAATGCAGTTTATAGTGAGGACGGATTTGCAAGCAATTCGAAAGTTCAAAGGGCTGCACATCTGATCAGCTTAGGGGTCAGTTCCTTGATATAGGGTAGGACAGCAAAACCAGGTCTGGAGTTTGGGTGGTGCTTGTACTGTTTGAATTGATGTTATTGTTGGGATTCTATCAGTTCTGTTATTAGGGGTTGTGCGACTATTACTTGTATCATAAGAGTTTGGCAAAATATTGGAAGGTGAACTAAATAAGATCTTGTTAATCAGACACTTCGGATAACCATTATTGATGAACAGTTTTGATAGTTTACGTAAATTCGAGGTATGGAAAGTATTGTCTGAGATGCTGATTACCCTTGTTTTCATCTGTTTCACCAAGTTAATTTTAATCCCTAGCTTATGGTATGACCTAAAATTGAGAAACCGACTGAGGCCCTAGGTTTCTGGTACCAGTCTACCAATAAACTATTGTTGTTGGTGCGGATGAGTCTTGTGTCTAGAAAGGGGACAGACAGGTTCTCATCTTCTTTTCAATGGTAAATTGGATGTAGGGGTCATAGCTGTTGAATTCTCTGACACTACAATCCAGACCTATGGAGGGGAGGCATAAAATAATGTCATCTACGTATTTTTTTATGAAGAAGAGGTTATAGGGTAGTGTCGGAATAACAGTATCAAGCAGATCATCCATGACATATTCTGCCAAAATTGGTGATAGAACAGATCCCATAGGACAACCATGTGTTTGAGAATATATTTTGTTGTTGAAAAAGAATGGTTATCCGAAGTGTCTGATTAACAAGATCTTATTTAGTTCACCTTCCAATATTTTGTCGAACTCTGATGATGCAGGTAATAGTCGCACAACCCCTAATAACGGAACTGATGTAATTCTCAACAATAGCATCAATTCAAACAGTACAAGCACCAACCCGGACTCCAGACCTGGTTTTGCTGTCTTGCCATATATCAAGGAACTGACCCCTAAGCTGATCAGATTGTGCAGTCCTTTGAACTTTCGAATTGCTTGCAAATCCGTCCTCACTATAAACTGCATTTTTTCAAAAATGAAAGACAGAGTCCCGCTGCTTGGCTTAACCAACACAGTCTACTCCATCAATTGCAACAACTGCAACCAAATATACATAGGTCAGACCTCCAGATCTCTTAAAGGAAGGATTACATCACACAAAAGTGATTCTAGGCTTCAACCTGAAATATGCGCTCTAGCATCTCATGTTAACACAACAGGGCATTCTATGAATTACACAAGTATCAAAGTTCTTGATAAAGAAAAACACCTTTCGAAACGTTTATTCCTGGAAATGTCCCACATTTTCATGAATAACAACTGTATCAACAAAAAGACAGATGTTAAGCAACTGAGTGTCATTTACTCATATTTGCTAAACTGCGAAAAATTGGAGAACTTACATATCTCCCCAAATTTTGACTCTTCACAACCATAAATGGAATCTGTTTCTTGGTCGATTCCACCAATAAACTTCATTCCACTCAAATTCTAATAATTTTCTTCTCACGATTTAATAATAATTGTTAATTTAATTTCCCATTAATTAAAATATAGTTACTTTAACTGCCTCTGGTCGGTTTAACAATTTCTTACATAACATTCTGAAAATCACACCATCTGAAGTGATTTTGACAACGTGGCACACGCCCACAATTCGTTCCATCTTTCTACACAGACATTGACAACCTTCGGCCTTCTGTCAAAGGGTTCATCTCACTCATTATTCCATGACCACCATTTTGTGCAATCATCAAGTGACTTCACGATGTAATGCTTTCATGGTTTTAAAACAATTTTTAATCTGTTTTTAACTTGTTCTTGTCATATTTTATATAATTTTGACCATTGTACCATCTATCCAGCTTTCACCATGTTACTGGACGTTTCCCTCATCCTATACGTAAACAACAATTAGCAACATCCTCACATACTACTGTAAGTTAAGTCAATTTAAATTCATTTTACACTATTGTTGCTACTGTTATCATTGTAATTGCAGCTTCTGATGATGAAGGCAAAGTCCATTGAAAGCTAGAGAGAATTAAAAAAGTATAAAGAGTCCTCTTTGCTTAAATTTTGTCGAAGTACCCAACAAAAGGCGGAAGCTTTAATTTTGCACCTATATATATATATGTTATATGGCCATAGTAACTACGCAGTTATTATACAATGTTGCACCAGACGCTGTGTCAGCATATGATAACAACTTCTCGCTAATCCGTTGCTAGAATAGTGCCTTTGCTGTTTTCTGCTAATTCTTAGTCAGCTTTCTGAATGTATAAATAGGCCTCGCGGCCATATCCTGTCGTTCAATACCCGGCTAGGCACCGTAACTGTCACTTATATAAACTTTGTTGTTCAATACCCGGTTAGACTCCGTAAATGTCACATTTGTAAACCCTTGTATTTTGTATGGACTGAAGCCTCAGTCCTCAAATAAAATTTTTTAAAAAGTTATTTCTAAATCTAATGATTTAAGAAATTGGTGTCAGAGAAGTGGGATAGCTTCAACGCATTAGAACACGTGCATACTAACTGGTGCGGTGGATGCCTATCCTTTAAGCTGAAAAGGACCAACGAGCCTTAAGAAGAAAGAAACCCATTGAAGAAAGAAACCTACAAGTAATAAAACTACAAGTAAGAAACTACAAAGCAACAAGAAGAAAGAAAACAACAGGGGACACAGCGAGCAGCAGCCACCCAACTGCAGACAGACTACTGGAAACATCGCAAGAGATCCACTAGCCGCCTGGAGAACACGACTGCCTCCCGATGTACCCTTGGTAACGTACAATTTTAATCAAACTATTTTTTGCGATTTATCTCTGTGTGCGTGATTGTTACATCTTTTTATTTGCATTTTTGCGCATTTACTCTATATACGTATATTGTCGATTTTCACGTATTTTTCCCCATTTTTACGTATTTTTCTATTTTACATTTATATATTTTTGCATTTTCCCTTGACATTATTGAATCTTTTTGAAACAACTTTCCATTTAAAATGTCTACTAACGGTTCAGATGATTACCAACCAGCTGAAATTCCTGATAACGTTCATGCGAACATTGAACCTTATAGATTATCTGAAATATTTTCGATTGTACCCGAGTACGATGGAAACCCGATATTGCTATCGACCTTCATCAACGCGTGCCGAACGGCATATCAAATGGCCGTCGAGGAGCAGCGGCTTCTCGTCGTTTTACATATTAAAAACAAACTTCGCGGACGTGCCGCCGAACTTGTGAACAGCCGAAACCCTTCCACGTGGGAAGACATACGGTCCCTGTTAGAAACCCACTTTGGAGATCTTAGAGATCTCACATCTTTAATCGCGGATCTTCAACACATGCGCCAACTCCCCAACGAATCACCCCTAACCTTTGCATCTAGACTGCAAACGCATGCAGCCAAAATGCATTCCGCCGTGAATAGGCAAAATCTAAATCGCAAGCAAAAATCTGCTCAAAGTTCCCTCATCGAAACGATGACATTAAATTGTCTATTAACAGGATTAGACTCAACTCAACTTTCATATTTGGAACGACAAAAATTCGCCAGGACCCCAAACCCGAATCAAAATTCAGTTATTCGAAGACCAAACCCTAAAATTTGTAATTTTTGTAATCGTCCCGGTCACTTAGCAAATGAATGCCAACGGAGACAACAGTCTACAAGTTTTGCCCAAAGACAGTTTAACCAGCCCCAACCTCAAAATTACCCTAGGCCGAATCAACCTATGCAAGTTAGACCATCTACATCTAACTACCATCAAAATTCTAATCAATATCCTCCCAGACCATCTGAAGGGTACAGGTCCATAAGGAGCTAAGTCGCCAAATGTTTATTTCGTACAAAACAGAGTTTAACTTTTAAAACTAGTAATTGATAAATTCTTGATGGTTATTATGAATTCTGTTAATTAGATTAGTTATTTGGGTAATTATTGAGACACACACAAGAAATTAAACTTATATTGTCATTTATACAAAGTAGAACATAAGCATTAATTGGTCAAACCATCAAACATTGTTGGCCTAAAGGGGCCAAGTCCAAAAAAAACAAGGTATACCGAAAAGTAGACAATAGTTATTAATATAAAATATACTTCTAGTTCTTGGGCAGGTTATCGAAAAATTGTTTTGCTTCGTCACCACAGAATCGTTTTAAATCTTGTAGGTGTTTAAATTTTTAAGCCGTGATGGGTATCAAACCTAAAAATAATTTTGTTGTTTAAAAAAATTAGTATTTCAAGACACAAGTATCTTTTATACCTGAATAAGAATACGGAGGAAGTACAAATTCATTTTGCAATAGCACAGGTCCCTTTCGCTTAGTCTCTTTTCCCTTCACTATTGCTGACTCCCATGCTCCATTATAGGACTCCCGGTAATATATTAGTCTATGATGTTCTTGATGTATTTCTAATTCTCGAATAGGACGGGAACGGAAAGGACATTTCTTCAAATAATCCGTTTTGGTATTAAAAAAATTTGTCCATGCTCGAAAGTAGGATTGATCTATTTCCACAACGTCAAATGGTGATGGTTTTCCACGAGCACGTCTAAAAATTTCTACCCAATCTGAAGGAATCTCGGCTCTTTGGTGGGAGTTTATTAAGCCCATATTATTGTCCGGTTCCATGTAGGAATGCCCACGAATAGGAAAAGTAACTTTAACATAATCAAGTCTATGTGTATTGTGGACAATATAATGCAAAAAACGAAACATCGTGTAATTTTTATTTTGCCGTCCACACGAGTCGCAGAATATTTCAAGCGATCTTACTTGTAAATCGAGAAAATTCCATAAAAAGTCATATTCAGCATTGTCGCTTCCCTTTTTGCCAAGTGTTTCCGGGTAAATGTAAAACACACTTTTTGCTGTAGATAGAATGTGGATATTAAAGGCATAGACATTCAGCTGGCTCTTATAGTAAACATCGTTTGTTGTTATGTTTGGGACACTGAGATTTTGTCCAAAATCGAGACAAATAGCTTCGTTTCTTCGCAGCCCTTTTTCTACTGTAAAATACCTCAGCTTTTCTTTTGTGTACATCATTTTGTATTGTAATATGGCATATTTCCTTTTGAAAGCGTTCTTTTTGAGCAATATCCATACTCTTTAAAACATCAGACTGAAGAGATTTTATTTTTATAAGAAACTCATCGCAAGAACTACATGTATCGGTCCTGGGATATCCAAAGGCTATGTTGAATTTTGTATTAAAGACTGTTCTGTACGACTCGTAAGACACTTTCATAGAAGGGTTCAACTCGCAAAACATTTTGAACATCTTTTTTATGTTTAAGTCTTCAGGTAAGTATAATTTTCTACTATCCTTCACACTGTAGTGGCTTTTCCTGCCTTTAAATGACTTTATATGTTCGTATATTGCTGCAAGAACCTGAGCATCAAATTTCCTAGGATGGTTTTTATTTTCTCCTCTTTTATCTTTTGGAGCGACTCCAGTCATTTTTAGTGACTTTTGTAGTATCTCTATTTTTTTTTCTTTATTCCATGAACAGACTTAAAAGCTTGTCTACAAATATTTATTTCCTGTAAGCTATTATCAGTTCTAAAACGTACCCTGTAAGAATATGCACTACTTCTCAAATTTGCTACGTCTTCATCTTTCCTAGGCCTTCTTCGGCGAATGAGGAGTATCGTAATCAATCCACATAAGTAGGAGTTCTGCTCATTAATAGAAGTCATTGCGTTAAAATTCTTGAGAATGGTTTTTCTTGCTTCTTCAGGTACATTTTGAAAACATTGTTTAGGACAGTTACAGTTTGCACCTACCTCGTGGCTCTGCAGTCTAATCTTTTTCATGACATCTCTCATTCTGCCGTACTTTTTCCTCTTTTTTGATTCATTCTGTCTAGATACTACTTCACTCTCATTTCCGCTACTATTGTTCTCAGTATTCATTGTTATTTACTTTTAAATTACTTGAAAAACATTGAAAACACTAGCTACTCCGACTAATCTAACTCTAAACTGCGCGTATTAGATCGACATCTATCAACTCCCGATCTTACCCTAAAAGGGTAAAGTCCAATATGGACTTTACCCTTTTAGGACCTGACTGATGCGGACTTGCCCCCTATTGGCGGTGTATGCGTAAATAAGAATTAGAATTTCACAGGCACTAAGCGCTTTTAGGACGTGTTCAAGTCGCTGACCACTTCTACGTTAAAATTGCTACAAGATGGCACCACTAGATCTATTTGTGTAAAATTACGACTTGCCCCCTTTTGGACCTGTACCCTTCATCTGTAATACGACCAAATGTGCCTAACTCGAGTGCGCCAAGACCCTCTGTAATTCAGAGCAATCCAAATTTTCAAAACCCTAATTTTCAAAGAAATTTTAGACAAAATCCTCCCAATCGAATTAATTATGTCGCCCCTGATTCTTACGATTATTCCGACTACGGTGAACCAGACCTATACCACACGGACTACGCTAATGAATATGACGATACCCAGTACTCCGCCTACACACCTTCCCCATACGATGATTTTAGAGAACCCAGTAACGATTATTGTTACGAATATAATCAAACCGCCGATACATTTGTTGACAACGCTTATTCGGACATACAACAATTCCAGGATTTTCGGACCAAGTGTTTGAAAGAGAAACCCCCTGCGGAACCCAACGACAGTACCGCGATAGTATGTGCGAACTTAGCGAATCTCAGTGTCGAGGACGCGAACGCGAAACCGTGTGCGAGCGTCAGCAACACACGCGATCAGATGTTCATATAAACCCTCCGTTTATAGTCCCGTCGACAATTCACCCCGTTAGCCCAGACAACTTATATTACATTAAAGATGCTACTGGAAAATTCCAAATTCTCATTGACAGTGGTGCAGGTTGCTCCATTTTCAAACGTAACACTTGTCAAAATTATACTAATCGTGTCGCAGAAAATATCTCTATCGGAGGTATTACTGACGAAAAAATTTGTATTACTGAAGCAGTCTTAGTCCCATTTGCTCCCAATGATTATCACAAAATTTATGTCCATGATCTAGATATTTCATTCGATGGCCTTCTTGGGTCAGATTTTCTTGAACATTATGATTGTATTATTGATTTGAAAAATCCTCAATTGATTACAAATTTCAAAACAGTCCCTCTTTTTAAAGTAGGTGACGAAAATGATTCCAAAGCTTCTCAATTTAAAGAAAAGTCCCAAGCTTCGCAATTTAAAGAAAATTCTCAAGTTCAAAATGTTATTTCCATTCCTCCCAGAGTTGAACAAGTTGTCAAGCTCAAATCCGAGCTTAGAAATACTGAAGCCATTCTTCTGGCGTGTCAGGTAGAAAAAGTCCGTCTACCCAGTTCCATAGTTAAAATTGATTCTAAAGGCGAATTCCTTACTACAGTATTAAACTGTAATCCCATTCCAAAAAATGTAATTTTACCCCAATTAACTTTCGAGCCCTTTAACGAAACTTCTATCAATAATTTCAACACTTCTTTACAAAATCAAAGTCAGTATAACCGTAGAGATGTTATTAGAGATCAATTACGTCTCGATCATCTCAACGAAGAGGAAAAAGATTTAATTACGAATCTTTGCTTAGATTTTTCGGACATATTCTACTTAGATGGTGATAGCCTGTCATTTACAAACGAAATTAAGCATTCCATTGATACCACTACCAGTAAACCAATTTTTACCAAATCCTACCGATACCCTTATGTCCACAAGCAAGAAGTCAAAGATCAAATTTCGAAATTACTAAAACAAGGTATTATCGAACCTAGCACATCGCCATGGAATTCTGCGGTGTGGGTTGTACCAAAGAAAATGGACGCCTCTGGTAAACAGAAATGGCGTATGGTGATTGACTATCGTAAGCTTAACGAAATCACCATCGATGATAAATATCCCCTGCCAAACATTTCCGATCTACTTGATCAATTAGGGAAATGCCAGTACTTTAGTACACTGGACTTGGCATCTGGATTTCATCAAATCGAGATAAATCCAGTTGATGTTCCTAAAACTGCATTTTCAGTTGAAAACGGACATTACCAATTCTTGAGGATGCCTTTTGGTCTCAAGAACGCTCCTGCCACGTTTCAACGTGTCATGGACAACATCTTGATGGGTATACAAAACGAAAGATGTCTTGTATACATGGATGACATAATTGTCTATTCCCCCTCCATCCAAGAACACATCAGTAGGCTTACTGAAATTTTTAAGCGTCTTCGGAAGTCGAATTTCAAAATCCAGCCTGATAAGTGCGAATTCCTCAGAAAGGAAGTAGCCTATCTTGGTCATGTAATAACCCCTGATGGCGTTAAGCCCAATCCAGATAAAGTGGATTGCATAAAAATTTCCCTCAACCCAAGAATCCTAAAGAAATAAAATCTTTCTTAGGTCTTGCAGGTTACTACCGACGCTTTATACCAAACTTTGCCAAAATTGCGAAACCCCTTACCAGACTATTACAGAAAGACGCAGTATTTGACTTTGATAGCGAGTGTGTTAAGTCATTTGATACTTTAAAAAATGCTTTAACAACATCTCCTATACTGATCTACCCCAACTTTGAAGAGCCTTTTGTGCTTACAACAGACGCAAGCGCTTTTGCGATATCTGGCGTTCTTTCCCAAGGTCCCATAGGTAAAGATCTCCCGATAGCCTATGCATCTCGTACACTTTGTAAAGCAGAAACGAGATATTCCACCATTGAAAGAGAACTTCTAGCTATTGTCTGGAGTGTAAAACATTTTAGACCTTATTTGTATGGTCGAAAGTTTAAACTTGTAACAGACCATAGACCCCTTACATGGCTTTTCTCTTGCCGAGACACCGGAAGTAGATTAGCAAGATGGCGCCTCAAGCTAGAGGAGTACGACTATGAAATAGTGTACAAGCCAGGCAAGGCTAATAAAAATGCCGATGCCCTATCACGTATCAAATTATCCAAAACTGTTAACGCCCTTACCCATAGTGACGAAGAAGGAGAACCTTCTACCCAATTTTCCGAAAGTGAATTTGATATCTTTGCCCGCCTTTACAAAACCACATCCCTGATCGATTATTCCAAAATTCAATTTTCAAATTCCGAACTCCTAGACAAAAGTCATAAACATATCGTCACGTTTTTCAGACAAAACACTCTATCTGATCTTCACGAAAAAATTATCGAAGACATATTCGAGGAAAATCTTGATTTTTCTGCAGATAAAATTAACATCGCGTCTAGCATAACAATTAAAGATAGAAAATACTATATTATTCCTGTGCCATACGATCCCGTAACTTGCATACAGCATCTTTTCTCTGTAATTTTAACCAACAAAGGTGTATTCGACCTATCCCAACAAATCTACGTTGAAAATAATTTGGACTTACCCATTTTAGAAATTTTCTCTTTTATTTTTTCGGATGATAATATCAAACTTGTCGTTTGCCAAAACGTCACCAAAACTCCTAGTCCCGATGAAATCCCCGTCATTTTAGATCAATACCATTGTGGTAAGAAAAACATTCATCGAGGAATTAATGAAACAATTAGGCGAATTCGTGAACGATATAATGGGCCCGGCTTAACTAAAGACGTTGAGCATTTCATCAAAAAGTGTGAAATTTGTCAATAGACCAAAATTTGTCGTAAAAACCTCAGTGCCCCTTTTGTAGTAACTGAAACCCCTAAAGCCCCGTTCGAAAGAATCAACATTGACATTTTGGAAGTCCCACCTAAATGCTACGCTCTCACAATCCGAGACGAGCTAACAAAATTTTCTCAAGCCTATCCAATTAGCGACAAATCTGCAAAATCTGTAGTAAATACTCTACTTTTATATTTCCAACATTATGGTACACCTCTCCGAATACACTGTGATTACGGAAAAGAATTTGACAACGCCCTCATGAAAGACCTTTGTAGTCTTTATGACATTAAATTAACTTTTTCTAGTGTCAGTCATCCCCAGTCCAATGGCTCGATTGAGCGATTTCACGCCACCTTATTGGAAATGATCAGATCCCATGTATCCGAAAATCCCGACGAACATCCCTTCAATATTCTTCCCTATGCTGTTCAGTGCTACAATAGCACTAGAAATAAAACTACTGGCTTTACACTATACGAGCTCGTGTTTGGCCACACCTCTGGTCGTCCGCCCGAACACGTATATTTAGAAAAAGAATTGATGTCCAAGTATGTTCGAGACATTCGGAATAAACTCGAATATTACTACCAAATTGCCCGAGTGAGAACTGACGAACAGAAGAAAAAAGCAAAAATTCGCTTTGATAGTAGAGTGTCACCTAATTTACAATCGTATAAAGTTAGCGATAAAGTCTTTGTGAAACAGTCTCAAATTTCAAACAAACTTCAGAACAAATTTGATGGTCCATTCGAAATTACTCAAGTTTTTGAAAATTCTGCGCTCCTTAAGAACCCGGAAACAAATAGAATAAGTAAAGTTAATTTTGACAGACTGAAACCATGTTTTGAGACTTAGTTTCTCTTTCAGGTGCAGTCTGCTGTTTCTTGCGGCTGTCACAGCCCAGATAGACATCAAACCGCTTAACAACAGCTTAGGTATCTATTTTCATGAAGACGCCCCTCTTAAGATTTCCAACGAAATTTGGACACTCCTTGTATATAAAGACTTAGAACTCATTAAGAAAGCACTTGACGATAACAACAATATTCTGGAACACTTATCATATCTCGTAGACAAACCCACCAATCGTATGAAAATGTTTAGTGGTGAAATTAAAACTCATACAAGTCTCCTTTATCAAATTTCTCGTTCCTTGGAATCTAAATATTACGCGATCTTCGATGACACTGTAAGCGCATCGCGGATGAAACGCGGTCTGATTAACGCTATAGGTACTGTATGGAAAGCAATAACCGGCAACCTCGATTCATCGGACGGTGAATACT